CCATCAGCGATGCATAATGCTCGGCGGAAGCAAGTCTAACTGAAAAAGTAGGTATCACTCACCTAGCGGCAACGGTATCAGTGTGAGATAAGCCGTGGCCCGCATAGCGTAGAGGCTCCAGAGGACGGTGTGCGGTGTGAGTTTACAGAGGTAGAATCCCTCTCTTTCCAGGCCCATTCGGAAATGGGCAGTCACCCGGAAACCCGAGGACGGAAATGAGGTATTGACGTGTGTCACCTGTGTCGGGGAAATAAAGAATCTTGATTTAATGTAAGTATCACAAAAAAGCGATAGCGCAAAACAGACCTCGCTTGCTCGCCCACCCGCTCGTCCTACCCATAGGCATCACTAAGCAGGCATCTGAGCGACCGTGGCCACTAACACAACGGATTCATTGCCCGCTGAACTGCACAGCATTAAGTTCCCGGCAAAAGAAGCTTATGTACGCCCACTCATAAACCCCCAGTCCCAGCATTTTGTCCTACAAAAACGGTGGCTTTAGAGTTTTGGGGGGTGGGGAAATAGGATAGGCAGGGAAGAAAATCTTTTGAAGTGTAAAGTGAAAAAAATTAGTCGAAATTGCTTCCCGTGGCCACTGGGAGTATGTTGTTCCGCATGTAAATTGAAGGTGTGCGCGGCGCTTAGCGTCGCGGACTATAATAATTTAACTCCAGAACGGTAAGTTGAAGTAGACGACCTCCTAACCACCATTTCAATTTTTCGGGAAATTTAAGAAACCTGCAATTTGATAATCGGGTTTTCCGCAATAAGTTAAACGATAATACAGATTAGGAAAATCTACAGATATACATCACAATAAGTTCGGGACTTTCCTTAAACCTGAATTTTGATAATCGGGTTTTTCCGCAATAAGTCAACGATAATACAGATTAGGAAAATCTACAGATATAAATCAGCAACACTTCTACATACAATAAAAAAGACGTTGTAGCATTTATTAAATTATAGTCCACTGTGTATCCTAATTCCCCACCCGTAAACCCCGATAAAAACCATTTTCGCACGAAAACATGCAGGGTGTAGGGATCTGTGAGTGGGCCTACATAAGCTACTGCTGCCGTTTGTTTGAATACAAAGTGGCCCACCGGTGATGTCTTAATGTAGTGAACATCGTCCTGTCGAAGAAATACAACCCCAAACCACCTCCGGAATTGAGATCTTGCAGGAAACAATGCCATCAAACTCGGGTGACAATCTTATGTTTCAGAACAACGCTATTCCTCGCATTTCTGAGGGAGACGTCCTCATAGTCTAATTCGTGACCGAGGGACCAAGTTGCGTCTATAATCTCTTACCTAACCGACCTCCATTTCCTCAAGAATTTTGCATTATTATCGGATGCTGCTCACAATTCCAACTTAAATGCTTACTGTGTTTGCCTCGAGCCCCGCTAGCACAGCCGCACAACCGCGGCTAGTAGATAGTATTGCCGGTAAAAACAAGGGAGACTGGAATGTCAATTTTTGGGTCATTAGCCGTCGTCAGTCAGCCATACCCAGTCCCACCCGAGGCTCGGACTCGCGACCTTTTTCACCACAAGTCTAACGCTCTAAACATTGAACCACGGGCTCGTTGTCTTGCAGGTTTAGATCGAGAGACGTCGTCAAATATATACCCTCAAAAAACCTAAATGATTCAGGCATAACTATCTTCCGTACAGCAGATGGTTTTGCGCTAAATGTCAACGCCTGCCCCCCCCGTTCACCTAGAATTTAGCTCAAGGTCATCAAGGAATTATCTCCTTCCTGGGAATATTTGTTTGTCTATTTGCGAATGGACACGATAGTGTCCAATGCGTTTTGGCCCAAGACTACGATGCCAACAGGAGGCTGCTACAACAAATATAAAGTAGATTCACTATCTCACGAAATGTAAGCCGGAATTATAATTCGTATTTTTGTTCGGGTCGAAAAAAACTACTTAAGTTGTTATATTAATTAGTTAGTGCAGCTTCATCCTAAGATATTTTATTCAGGTGTGGATATCGGCCTTTGCATGAGGTTATTTCCGTGTCGGACAGCCAAGATTGATGTTCGACTTCCTGGTTTTTTGTTCACTGCCTCAACGTCATGTACCGCCGCAACGAGCGCTTTCCGATTCACTAACCTGCACACAATCGGTAGACTTTCACGCGAACAAGACACTCGAGTCTTGGTTGTCACGGCTGCCTACGGGCCAATTAAAAACGTCCCCCGTTGGCAGACGCAGCATGGACTACTATGCAGAACACCACCCCGGGTAATACAACGCATCAATTGGATGCCACTTGGATTTGCTTGACAAATATATATCTATTCAAAAGACGGCCGTCTATGGGAGACGCAACAAGTGAACTGGTAAGGCGACGCCTGAGGACAGAATTTACGAGTGCCTTCCCGGCGGCAAACTTACGCGTACTCTTCACTAACTCTCCCCTTCTACGAATGGGAGGTAAATACAGACAACCGTTTCAGGCCAAATCGATGTGCATCAAAACTTTCACCTTTTCCTATAGAGCGGGATATATTGGCCGAACAACGCGACCTCTAGAGAAGAGCATACGGGAGCACATACCGGCATGGCTCAGCAAAGGAGAGAATAGGCCGATCTAAAGCTCAATCTTCTCCCATCTAATTGATACAAACCACCAAGTGGACGCGAGAGAAGCCTTTCGGGTCATATACCACACGCCGACACACTACTCCAAAGGCCTACGCAAGCCACAGCAGATGCAGTGGCAATCCGGTTAGCAAAACCCACTCTTTCTGTCAAAAAGCGCTGGTACACGCAATCTGCCTCCCTTGGCCGACTGCACGCGGAAATTCCATGCATACTGAAGCCACGTCCGAAAACACACAGAAGACGAAGCTACGGAGAATAGTCAAGCGCAAGCTGCGCGGCTGACCTCAGACCTCAACCAGCTGACCGTGAGAACATCCA